TCGTTGCCGTAGACTATGATAGCAGGCGTGAGTAGGTTGTGCCGGCTGGTTATATGGAATCCTGCTATGGGTTAGTTGTTTAGAGAAGTTATATACTGTATGTCCGTCCTGCAAGGGTAGATATAGGGCCTCTCGTTGATTGTCCGGTAGTAAGACAGAGGTTTTGTTTTTGTGTTCAGCTGACGCCTTCTGGAAGTCGCGAGGCTCCAGCAGTGGTCCAGGAACCCCCTGCCCTGGATGCCCGGACCACGCAGCTCATGCAGGCCATTCGTCAGAACCTGGATCTGGTAGCCCTTGATCTTCCCGCCTTTGAAGTTATGGTTCAGGGTTTAGCCTGCACCCCACCAGATGATGTTACGCTGAGGCAGTTGCATGTAAGTATCAGCTTGAACATTTCCTAACCTATCTGTAGATGGTCAATTGTTGAGGTTTACCGCTTCAGAGTGCTTTTTTGAGGAGCTGTTCAGTCGAAGTTGATCAGTCACGAATTTAATTTATAAGTGACTTCGGATAAGTTTAGCTAGGCATCCATAGGCGGTGACATTACCTGCAATTATCTTGCTCCTTACAGCAGGTAAATTGCAGTCCGACTAACCCGCTTTTGCTGCATGCGGTGTTTTTTATACGTTGACATCTCTCTTCATCGTCTCACAACTGTCCGGTGTCTTGCGATGTCGCCTTTGTTGTTCTTTTCATCGCCGTTGTTGCGCTCTCGCGTGTTCTCGATGTTTCATTTCTGAGATAAAAGTGTCGCTTTTACTTTGGGAATTTGTTAATTCTCGGCGAAAGTGACGCATCCTATGTCATGGACTACAGCAGTCAACGATTGCATCATCTTCTGCTCAGCCAGAAGATCGCACTTACAGCGACGACTGCGAGCTGGACGACTGCCTGGACGGGGGAATTTATTGGAACCAGCTAATGTTGTTTTGGCTTACTAACTGCAATCCATTCCTGCATCAAGCAGATAGTTATTAACAAAACGCACAACAAGTTTAATTTACACAAAATTCAAGGTCCAACACCATGAGCATTGTTCACTGCTAAAATAATGAAAATGGTCACTTAAAACAAGTAAAGGGGGGGATTCGGTAGAAGGAGTTCTCTGAGAAACAGTGGTTTATTGTGTAAATTTTCGACGCTGGCACACCAGGTTGTCGTCAGATGTATGGAAATTGTACAACAGAAACTTATATAGTGGGTAAGGTAATGGTTCATAATCGTTACCCGCATGTGATTTTGCGGTCAGTGGGGAAGATTAGTTGTCACCCGCATGTAATTATGCGGTCGGTCGGGAACTAATTTTGACCGCAATTAACCGTGCGGTCGGTGGTGGCTGTTTTTCGTTTTCTCTAGTCCGGATAGGCTGTCATATCTTCCATGCTGCTTTGAGGTTGATATACATCGCGTCCAATTTGATGTGCCTGTTGATGCACGAGTTTATCGGAGTTGATGGCTTCTAAAAACTCGTGGCCTTTCTTGTATAGACAAGAGCCAACAATGCAAGTTTCGTCCTAAGCAAATTGGTGCCCAATTTCTAATGTGTGCATGGCAACCTCGGATAAGTGATATCGCCCCTTTACTGCACGTTGATTTTCTCGTAAGCATGTGGAGGGAATGTAATCAACACACAAGAGGCCTATGAGCACCTTTAAGGGCAAGGAATTATCAGGGCAATGTGAGGTTGACCACACTTAAAGATGGCAAAAATAGCAAGATTTATTGAATCCATGAAATTCCTAGAGAGCTCTTCAGTTGCTGCCTCTAATTGCATTGTAAGAAAGCCACAAGAATTAATGTCGACAAACCGAAGGTTCCCCCAAATCACAAGTCAGGCAAGGCGGTGTTGGTGAACAGAAGTTTACTGCCAGTAACGAATGAGTAAATACTAAATTGAATTGGTACAGAAAGATCAGAAAAAATGCACTTGGAGATGCAAGTACCTAGGGCGAACGCAAAGGCAATTGGCAGCTACAGCCAAGGAGCACTTGCCTAGCTGGTTATTCAGACAGGAAAATAGAATACTTCCGTCTTCCATTACAGAACACTAACTAGATATGGGCCATTCTGTGAACCCTAAAACTTCTTTCCAAGTACTTGTTCGGGCAGGAACAATTTGTACCTTACGGTACCTGGAGGCAGCCTCTATACGGCGGTCAAAATTTAACCTCTGTAAACAGTTGGAGCATGTGGTCAACCTAGCTTTGCCCTGGTAACATCCGGCTCCCTTAACGCCTTTCCCCTGTTTTCCTTC